TTTAAGGACCATTAATGAAAAAATTAAGGACCTATGAGAAAAAACTGAATAAATTCAAATAAAAATATTATCCATGCCTGAATTTCACTTTTGTAATACCATCCTAAAAATAACTAGATCCCTGAGTAGTAATTATTAAAAGTTTGAGAATAAAATAAACTTTATGCAATTTATCAAGTAGCATTAAATATTTACATTATATATTATTATTTGCCGATATATTGGCCGGGCGGAAAAAATATTTGCTGTGGGCCGCATGCGGCCTGCGAGTTTGACATCCTTGGTCTAGAGAATTAGGAAATAGCAGGTAAATTTTATGTCAAGTGGCATAGCTTAAAATGAGAAGTAAAATCATAATCAGCAAGATTCACAAAAAAGACGATGTCACCGCTGCTGCTTGCCTAGAGGGAGACCTGCTAATTATAAGAAACCTGAAAGGCCTGATGTAGGCACAACTGGCAAGTTTTGAAAGATAATTGGGCTCTGTCTGATGCAGTTAGTGTTAAAGCTTTGTGTAGAGTTCCAGGGGGTTGTAGCCCAATTAATATACTTTGAGGTCCCAGTAAGCCACTAAAGCACAAGAGGTGATAATTTGTTTTGTATGATTTTAAGTCTCACTAGATGCAAAGAATACGCTTTACATGAATTTTTACATTTTTGTGTTTTATCTTGTGACCACAGTGAGTATTAATGAAAGGCAATAACTCACTTTAAATGTAGAATAACTTTTAAGGGTAAGCAGTTAGTATAAATAATTAAATTAGGTAATTAGATAACCTTAGTCATTATGGATTTACATGGCCCTATTAAAATTTTATTTTTTACAATTTGTTAAAAAAGCCATTAAATCAAAATCTAATAATTTCACAGTTTAAATACATGTAATTTATGACATTGATTCTTAAATATTAGATCCACATTAAAGCTACCAAATTATTAAATTCACTCAAACATTTATGTTTTGTAACAACATCAACAAAATATGTATCCTTCATTTTAATTGAAGCCTTTCAACATTTTGGCTAGTTTATACAGATTTCTCTCTTTAAAATCTTTTCTAACAATTAGAGAGTTGTCTCAATATGCAAATCAATGCTCTCGCTAGTTTTGCGTGCTTATCTCCTAACTTGTCAACATCTCCCACAAGGTGCCATGAGGATTTACTTGATTGGTAAAAGTTAAACAGTCCCCCCCCCCGGACTGAGTCATAAACTGAAAGGTGATTTATAAAAGCGCTCGCAACCTTTCTCAGCAACGCACAAAAAATTCTTTCTGGATTTTGTGCACAAAGATCCGAGTTACAAGAAGGCAAAAATTCAAATGCTGACACAACTTACAACCACACACCAACAGTGAAACGTAAATTTAAAAAGACATTATTAACAAACAAAATGTCAGTGTGTATTAAATACATGATAAAAAATTTGCAAATGTCAATACACGTATTTGATTGCAGCACACCTATCCTACTCATGGCACACCAGTGTGAAGGCACAACGGTTGCAGAGCATGCTATAAACAATTGGGTAAGTTATAAATAATAAACTGCACATATCTTTGAGAAGTAATTTTCTTATGTATTCATTTTCTTTCTTCAACATGGTTTCTTTTCATTTTAGAATTCTGGATTAATTATTTCTGTTTTCTAAAAAACACTAAATGCATTTAGAATGTATAGAAAAAAGTGGTAATTCTATTTCTTTAGTAATATGAACATTCAGAAGAAATATGAAATATATATGGTAAAGGCCGGTTACAAAGCTGATGTGCAGAATTTTTAGAATTTAGTGACACACCGAAAACAAAATCTAGAAATAGCAAAACTTTTAGAAGTTAGACAGGCATTGGAAGCAGAATTTAGAAGGCACTAGGCAGCAGAATAGGATCACAGAGATTGCATCAGGTGGGAAATGCCCAGTGCCAGCTCGTGTTGATGCATTAAGACATATTATGAATCTTTTAAATTTTTTTTCAATTTCTTTATTAATAAAAAATCCTTTCTATAATGTCTGGCCATTGATAAGATTAGAAGCAGTTTTTGATATTTTCCATGCTTATGACTAGTGAAAGTAGAGAAATAAAGGGAGACAAAACATGTTAGGAAAAGATTCTAGTATCAGAAAGTAAAACATTCAAATATTTGTTTTCATTGTTCTTCCAGACGTTCTAAAAAGGTAAGAAATTCATCGCAACTTTCTGTAAATACATCCATTATATGTTGATACCATGGAGACATTTTTCATTTTGTCACATATTCTCGAATCTTCTAGAATCGTGGGTCTATAATTTTGCTTCAAACCTTCTAAACTTTCCAAGCGGCAATGCCTAAAATACTAGAAAAAACCCTACCATTCTGTAACAGCAAAAAAGGCAGAAAATTTTGGAAAAAAAAAAGGAGGGAAAAAGTGTAAAATTAATTTTAAGAGAAAATTGATGCATATTCTGAAATTTGAATATTCTGAGACGGAAAAATGCTTACTATGAAAAAAATTAAAAAAGACATTTTTAATTAATTACATAGCTAATTTGCTCTTGCTAAGAGCGTTTCGTAAATTACGCTTTATAGCATTATGCCTTATTTTGAGATTCATAATATTGTATAATAAGTTGCCAAAATGAAACTTTATAATAGACAGTGAAAAATAGAGATGTTTATTTTAATTTTATTTTTAAATATAAGTACAATATATTACCATTATTAATGAAATTTATCAAGTTGGATGTTTTTAAAAAAATCGTCTAAAAATTCTCAGATCTCGGAATTAAAATTTTCTATAGAAACTGATCTTAAAAATCGCCAAAATGTGACAAGCGCCAAATTTAGAACCATTTAATAAAAGAATTCACATCCCCAAAAGCGAAAAGGTGTTTAAGATTTCTTTATTAGAAAAAATGAATTTCGAAATGTTTACGTTTCACTTCTTGCTCAGAAACTCGAGTATCCCATCATTTATATTAGAAATAGAAACAAATTATAACCAATTCAAAAAACCATATGTGTCAGTGAATCGCCAAAAATATTCCTCCAAAATGCTAATTCACACCCAAAAATGGCAGTCATAAAAACAGACAGCAATTTCAGATGATTAAAATTAAGAACCTTCTGCTGATTTTGGCCAAAATTAAGGACTTTTAAGGACCAAAAATCGATTCCAAAAAATTTAAGGACTTTTAAGGACTCTTAAGAACTGTACGAACCCTGTATTTTATGATACAATTTTTATATATTATACATCACACATCAATTCAAGAATTAAATTTTGTTAATAATTTTATGGGAAGTTGGTTACTAAATTTGACAACATAAAGAATTTATTAGCTACATACTATTTGAAAAACTAGTAATGCTAAAGACTATTTATTGAGAAAATGATTCTGAAGCACAGAGATGTTATTAATTTAAACTGTCAAAAATATATCTAGAATGTAATACTTCAATCATTTCAGTAGACTTTTCTTTTCATTTATTTATTTTATTTTTTGAGGATTATTCAAAATAAATTTTCAAAATTTTTAAAGAGAATTCAGTGCTTACTTACCGTCTTTCCACATAAATATGACAAAACGGCCTTGTTTTGGCTCAGATTCATCAGAATTTACAATTGCAGTACCAATTATATAATAAGTATTTGGATCTTCCCCTAACCTAGTTGAAATAATACTAAGAGCAAATTCATTTGGCAAAAACTGGTGAGCATGAAGTACTGAAAAGTACAAACAAATTATAAACCAATACAACCATAACTTTCTCAATCTGAATAACAATTTGTTATGCACAAATAACAGCAATATAACCATTTGTTATGCACAAATAACAGCAATCCTTACCTTCAAATGTATGTTGATCTATAATAAGTAAACTATATACATCTACTTCTTGGCCACATTCATCTGCACTTGTTTGTCCAGACTGTGTCTGATTAATTTTTAATATAGAATTGCTGCTTGTACTGCAGAAGGAAAAAGGAAGTTACATTAAAAAATAAATAAATAAATATATATATGTAATAAATTTAAACCCAGAAGTAATGACCAGGAGCAGGGGTTGTAGGAGAAGGAACAAACTTAGAATGCAGAAACCATGATCCACAATGAATAGGAAATTTGGAGGCAAATGCAGATTAAATCTTCAGTTTTATTTTTAGTAACATGGGTAAAATCCTAGTATATGGTGCAGCCTTGGCGCGATTTTGAAAATTATCGACAACACCAAAAATGACCCAAAGAACGTCTACGTATATACTATAAATTATATCTCTCACTATATACAGTAGTATAATATGTATAACTATATATATTCCTTGAATGACCCATTTACTACTCATCGTATATGTTCTGTTTTTACTGCTCATCATAAAAGTCGCCAAATCCCGAGTCCACCAGATACTAGGATTAAACCGCAACATGTTGCGGTTACACACAATGTGCCTGTTCCAAATGGCTTACATTTTCAATAAATTTGTAGCAAAAAAGAAGAGGCAGACAGACAGCAGTGTAGCTAAGCCAAAGCATGGAAAGCAAGTGCGTAATGTTCAGGATGAAATCTTAAGTCAGACTGAGTTAGTTTTGGTTCTCAAAGCATTCTGATTGGATGATTAATATTGCTGTAAAATTATTATTGGCTGTTAAGAGTTTTAGTTCCACTTACATCATCATAATTACGTAATAGTCATATGACATAGATTTTTCTGGAAATGTCCCAGTGCAAATAGATGTTGCTAGTTTTAGAATAGAGAAGGAAAATTAATTTCTGCTGCTAATTTATTTTTTTACACATTCTTTTTCTTACATATATATATATAATTTTATGTTATTAACTAGGGTTATTAACTTCCCTGGTTATAATTATAACTAGGTAAATTTCTTAATGATACATGAATTTTCTTAGAATAATTTATTAAAACATTGTAAAAATATGACAGAACTCCATTTAACAAAGATAAATTCAAGCTAAATTGGGTAACTCAAGGCAACTATTTTTAAGTTAGAGAGAAATAAATATAACTTTGTTAAGAAAAAACACATATTACAAATTGGATTAGGCTGTACTGGACATAATACCATTAAAAATTATGTAAATCTATGTAAATGTGAAACATTGCAAGAACATTAAATTCACCAACTTAAAAAAAGGAAGCAAATGTTAGCAGACATACAGTCAACATTGTAATTAAGGGTACAATTATAATCAACAATAAAATATTATTTCTACTTCCTTCTCTAACATGAGATTTGTGTTTTTTATTGCACACTTAGTTGAAAGGGAATGCTAGAGACTCCTTAAGATTAAAATCAAAAATAAGGTCTTTAAAATCTAAACAACAAATTTCATTGTTAGGTGAGAAAATAACTTAAAAATTGAATTTGTGGAGAATCTCAGCAAATTTGATAACTGATAGGAAGGGGGAAAAGATATATATATATATGACTTCCATACATATCATAAATACTTCTTCAGCTAAAAAGGGGGCTTATACTATATGCAATTGAATTACTTAAACATACAGATACAGATAATAAAAAAAAAGAGGAACTATTAATATATAAATAAAGCAATTTATTTCTTGTTAGAACATTGTTTTAAAAATAATTATAATATCTGCTGACGAGCAATAGCATACGTATTATGGCAATAAAATCAGTGGAAATTGCCTATATTTACAGGACTATAGTTTTGAAGGTTAAATAGAACCTCCTTCAACTACAGGAGTAAAAATGACATTTTCTATGCTTTCCAGGTTTGATGCTCCAAGTCAGCTCTTAATCAAGAACTCAAATACTTACGAGCAGTTGTAATCAGAATAGGTTTTTCACCTCGTTACAAAATCATTTAAAAAACCTTTTTCTTTTGGTGAATTCAATTTCCTAGAAGCATTTCACATTCATGAAAATCTTTCAATCGTGGTTTATAATTCTAATTCTAGTGTCATTATGTTCACCTTTAAAAAAAATTATTTCATAGTCTCTTTCATGTTTTGCCATTAAATGGCACTGTTAACTGTTTCCTTTTCCTTTTTGAAACATTGCCATTACATTTAGAGACATCTCATTTTTGTCCTGCAGCTAAAGAAGTTTTAACTTAAACTTTGAAACAAAAATATTACAAATTTATGCAACTTACACTAATTCTTGCTGTAGTATGTTTAACATGTGATATTACATTATAATTATTATAACACTGCACACATACTAGGTTTGTTTTATCTGATTATGGCAAAACACATGAGGGCTATCTGCCTAAGGGGAGGGATGCCTTTGTGGATGAGGGAATATCCACGTTACACATGGGGAAAACCACAAAAAATACTCATGCAGTCAGCCTGTTTGCTAGGATTAGAACCCGACACTGGTGGGCTCACATACATCATTAATTTTCACTAATAATTAAAACAAACTAGTTTTTCTTGCAATAAATGTGAATTACCTTTCTATGAATTTGCAGAGACTTTTGTTTGCTGCATAAGACACATATTTTTCTACCTTTCTGAAGCATGTTTTTAGCTTAACTGTATAAGCTGTCATGTCATGGCCCCAAACCAAGATCTGGACTCAAATTCTAGCACGACAGCAACAAACATCTTTCTTCACTAACATTTTAACCCCTAGCATTTTCCAATAACAATTAATTCTATTTACCAGATAAATATGGCACCATTAGAAAAACAATGTCACAAAGATTTATTTTGTTTTCTTACATGTGTAAAAGTGAGATATTTTTGTAGAAATGTATAAACATAGTGGTATCAAACTTATAAAGGATTAACAAATGTGACGTTACTTTTGCAGTGAATACAGACATCAATCAGGCATTTCTTAGGCATGTGAAGCACAGAAAATGTTGAGAATAATTTTAAATAAGCTAATTCACATATTATATTTTTTTGTAGACTTAAATTTCACTTCATATTATATAAACAAACCAAAAACACATCTTACTGAGAAATATATATATAATGATTTATAAATAAGTTACATGCTAAGCACATCATTATAATACCTAGATGTAAAATTCTGGGCTTGTGTACTTGCACTACGCCTTGTTGGAGTTAAACCACAGCTATCGTGATAATCAGTTCTAGACGTAATTACACCAAATGTCTGGGTGGCTTCTTGATAAGCAATACGCCTAATTAAAACGATGCATAAAGAATTGAATAAAATTATTAAATAAAACAATCATAATTTTTTGGCCATAATAGTGCTTTCAAGATTTAACTATACATTCAATTTTCAAAAATATCTACAAAAACTATTAAGAGATTTACTTTTTTACAATGACTTTCAACAATAATAATTTTCATTAAATTTTTAGACAAATTTTATGAACATAACAATCTAAATAAAGCTTATTAAGCTCATTTTAAATTACTCTTCAACTGAAATAATGATATATTTTAAAACTGCATGGCAATTAAAAAGTTCTTTACAAATATTTCAACATATAGTCAAATAGTATTAATTCATATGTTATTTACCGAGACATAACTAATAACATGAATTACAAAATGTCTCAAGCAGAAGGGGGTGTGTGTATTCAAAAATGTTTACCTAGGTGATTCACCCAATGGAACAGTTCTAATGTGAAGTTTCTGGATTTCATCTATAGTCCCAATCAGTAATGTATTATCATTTGCAAGTGCCAAACTAAAAATAAAAAACAAATAATATTTTTATTTTTAAAAATAATATAACTTCATACACTAAACAATTTAAGATGTCTCTCTTCTAAAAGGGAAAAAATTACTAGATCTCCTTCTTTTAGAATCTCCTAGTTATACTTTCCCTTTTTTGGCTCTGGTACAAATGAAAGACTGCTAAGAGCTGTTCATTAGTTAAGGACAATTCTTGTCCAGTAGTTCCACAAATAGGGGCTGCAAAAGTGTAAGTGTGATTCTAGAAACAAGCTACGATTGATTAATATTAGTTTTAGTTGCCTTTTTCCACTAGCATTACATAACGTAAAAAGATTTCGAATTTGGAAGAACCGATGAATTTCAGGAAGAGCACCAAATCTACAATGTTAATTATGAGGTTGGCAATTATTTTTAAAGCAGCTATCATATTTTGCTATATATTACATATATGTGTGTGAGTGTGTGATAATTTTGTTGGTAAATCAATATAATTTTGAAATTAATCCCGTTTTAGTCATGACGGAGAAAACTGCTGTGTAGTTGATAACTGGATAGAATTTTGGAAGAAGAATGGCCAACTTAATAGTTAAATATAATTTATTTTTGGATCAAGAATTTCTTAATGCATATCTTCTTAACTGGTAGAACAACAGGGGTGCTAAAATCAGGGTTGCCACTCAAACAGGAGAATGAAATTCCCTGACTTTTCCAGGATTTCCAGGTATGTTTCGAGAAAATTTCAGTCTATCCGCGTAATGTATGTTGGCTGTGCTAAGAGGTAAATTAATTATGGTATTACTTGTACTGTGTAGCAAATTCACTTAATTATTCAATAAATCCCAGAGGACATTTATTCTTAATTATTCTTGGTACACATTGTTTGATAACTTTGTCTACTTTTCCGCTTAAAAAACTTAATAAAATTTAAGATATATACATTGGATAACAACTGTACGTTTTATTTAATTATTACTCATGATCATCCCCAGTTCAACACGAGGCTAATCCGGTTCTTATAAATCACAACGCAATGCTAAAAGTTAGGTTAGATTTTAGGTAAATTTAATTTGTGTGAGGTGTATTCTTAAAAGGCACCTTTACACTTGAAAACACAAATATAATTATAATAGGAGTTGTTTTCTCGACTGAAGATTGAGATTAGAATCTGTCCAATCTGGAATAAAATAAGGCTTTTTTTGCAAACATTCTGCAGCTAAACGAAAGAAAGAAATCTATTTAATGATATTTTTTTACTAAATTGAGGTATTTTATATTTATTTCGCAGCATACATAAGGAAAAAATATGTGCATTAAATTTCGTGATGTCATCCTACTGCTAGAATTAATTTCAAGATTATGCCAGAGAAAATTTCCTGAAATTTGGAAATATTATTTACTAATGATAAATAAATTTAGAGGGAAGAAGCAACATTAAATGATATGAATAACATAAAAATAAAGATAATTACTTAAAAATTTAATTAGAATAATCAACGATATTTTAGCAAATATAGTTATATTACATGGTTATCCTAGATGATTGATTACTATTTTTTTATTTTACTGCAAAATGACAAGGTATTTATTAAAAAGAAAAGAAAAAAGATTTTGCTGTAAAATCCTAGTATACGATACGGCCTTCGCATGATTTTGAAAATTGTCGCCAAGAACAAAATGACCCGTTTATTGCTCATCATCATGTTGCCAAATCCCGTTGTACCATACATGGAGATTATTCTGACCAAAGAACGTCTATGTAAAAAGCGGAGGGAAAATTTGCCAAGGGATTTGATGACAGAACGGCCAGAATTTCCCTCTCCGCGATGTGTACAGGAAATTGAGAAACACGTGTTAAGAAGAAACGTTCTTTGACAAAAAAGAAAACTACGAAAATCTGTTTTTAAATTATTGCGAAAAATCCAAGAAGAAACGTTTTTTCTTGGATTTTTCGCAATAATTTTAAAACGGATTTTCGTAGATTTTCCCCCCTTCAAAATAACTAATCCATGAATTAATTTACTTGCGCCAAAAAATATTTTCTTTTCCTTTAAAGACATTTTAAACGATATTTATTTTATGAACTCTTGATAACGTGACCTTCGAACTTCGACATCGGTTTCAAGCTTTGGCGACAGATATATGAGACATGCACAGCTGTTTTCCCTCTATGATGGAACGGAGCCACAGCCACATCTGTTGCAGAGAGGTTTTCCTTCTTTACAATACATATTCTTTGATTCTAACCTGCATGGTACCGTATACTAGGATTAAACCCATTTTGTTTTATACGAGAACAGGTACTTTCTTTAGTTCATGCGATTCTCGAGGTTACTGGAAACCATAAGTTGCGGGAAATTTGCTTTGCCTTTCTAAAAAGACAATCAAATTGGAGCTACGAAAATTGGCTCTATGCCAGCTGCCCGAATGACACTCACGTGATACACAATTCGCCAAAAATGTGATCTCTTCCGACGTCGGCGCAAAACTCCGCCTTTTTTTGGCGGGATCGTTGTATGAAATTCCCTGACTTTCCCAGATTTTGACTAAAACACTTAAATTTCCCTTTTTCCCTGAATTTTTTGGTCAATTTCCGAATTCCCCGACTTTTTCCGGTTTTCCAGGTAGCGTGGCAACTCTGTAAAATGCACCCACAATTTTAAATATGCAATTACATCTTTACTAATGTATAACAGCAAGCAAAGGCACATGCTGCCAACAGGAAGGTGAAGTGGCAAAAGAGTGATGTGTAATAATTGTAGTAGTATTCATAAGCTTGGAAGGTATTTGTTTTAAAGCTGATCAATGACTGGGCAAAAGTCTACAACAACACAGTCACTGCAGGGAAAATGCCTTGAAAGGGGCTGTGCTTTAATTGAAAATTAGAATTTTAAAGGTCTATTACCAATTTATTCCAATTAAGTTTAATCTGTTAATAAATTTCCAGCCTATTTATATATATTACACACAAATGGTTAAATTAATTAACATTCAAAAACTATCTTGATGGACTACATAAAGCATATATGCAATCAAATCTAGCATATTTTTATTTCACCATTTTATGACTTACTGACTGCCAGAGATAAAGGTAAATTAAGATAGCACATAGAACTCCAAATAAATAAATTCCTGAAAACTGTAAAATTAAACTCTAAAATTTTTCATATCATATATTCCTTAAAAGCAAAAGGAATTTTATATCACAAACCATACTTCAAGAAATTATTTTCAGAGAAATATAAAATTCCTTTTAGATGGATTAAAATAACAATAAATTCATTTCATTATAGAAGTAAGCATAGGTTAGTTTTCAGAAAAATTTTCTATTGCAATATGAAGATCAAATTCCAGAGATGGGGCTGCTTTCATACAGGAATCAATCCCTCTTTCTCTTCAGCATAACCGTATCCATGTGTGTCATAATAAAATGCATTAAACATAAATATCATGAGGCTAAAAATTTAGAAAATGGTTATTTAACTTGTTTGCAAACCATGCAGTTGAGTGTCACTTCGCTCAATGATTAACTCTATAATTCATAGTAGTCATGAAATATAAAGAATTATAGCATTAACGTCCACTTCTCAAGCTATCTTTAACGATCATTTTTGTTTCTGGAAGTTTTTATTGCTTGGAAGGGCAATAAATGTTTTAAACCTGCTTTTTCATCCGGTCTGCTCATTCAAAAGATAAAACAATAATGCGTGGTAATACCAATGTTCAATATTACATGAATCATACTGCAAGATAAAAATAATGCAAAAATGTAGCAACAAATAACAGAAATCATATTACCTATCAGGATAGCCTTCTGAATTGAGTGGGCACATATGGCTAACTTCTTTTAGATTAACATTAGAAAATACTAATTTATGATTGCTAGAATATATCACAGTTGGTCTATCGGAACAAGCAAAAACATTAGTCGTGGCCAAAGAACGAAATGTTTTAAGCACTGTTGGTTGAGTTCCTAGGGTAACCTAAATTAATTCAAATGATAATTTTTAGAATTATGTGTATTGTTTGAAAAATTATAGAAAAACAATAAAATCACATTTACAAATGTAGAAATATATATCTGTATATATAAGTGTGTATCTGTAAGTATGTAGAAAAATAAAATATGCTTACTTTTTTCTTATCAGCAAGACTACCTGTAATTGGATTGATTGAAAAATAATATAAAGATCCATCACCCAAGGCACAAAGAAGGTAATGAGTATTCTCAAACGTAGTAGCCAAAATAGATCTTGGGATAATGTCTAAAGGGGGAAAAATAACATGTAATGTAATTTCTTGCATTTTATATAAAAATAGAAAATAAAATATTTTATGTATCATAGTAAGGAAACACGGTACTTCTTTATTAATATTTATCCCCTAAGATTGAATCACTAATCTGTTGGTATGCAAACAGTGATGGACTGTCGCCAATAGCACGATAAACATTATGAACTGGAAACCCTGCAGAGGAATTAATTGTGTAACTTGTTTTTTCCTTACTTACTTTCCTCACTCCTTCAGGAAAGAAGTGATATGACACTCTCTATTATTTAACTCATTTTTCAATATATATTTGGAATACAGTACACTCCCGATTATACGCGGAATTGGGTGGCGCAGCCGCTGCAGATAACAAAAATCGCGTATAATCCAAAAAAAGCTAAAACCGGGTATAGCAAAAGACAAAATAGTCATTCCAACTTGTAAATCGTTTAATGTACAATAAAACTTAAAATAAACAGCAGAAAATGTTTAATTATCGCTTAATATTTTAGTATATTACTCAAAACTAACCTAAAATGCATTTTATTAATAAAAACAGAAAAGTGCTTTGTACTTAAGAAAGGCGTCAAGAATACACAGAAAAATTAATACTGTAATGTATTATGTAATTACACAAGCATAATTGTAAAACTACACCTTTTTGAAGAAATCAATTATTTGTGTTTGCTTCTTGCTTTGGAAGCATTTTCTCTTGATCCGAGATTGCATTTTTCATGGCATAAGTCGGCCAACTCCACGTCGTCTTGTTCTTCCAAATAGCTCAGCAGTCCGTCAACTTGCTGCAAAGCCGCTTCATGAGTCTTCCGCATATGCACAGTGGGCTCTTCTTCGCTTTCACTTCGTTCTTCTTCATTCTCAGCCTCTCCCCTTGCTTTCTTCACAATTTCGTCATCTGTCAAGTGTTCGAAGCCAGGTTTGTTGACATCACACTCAACCACTCGTTAATGTTTTCAGCATCGACGTTCTCACCACCCGGAACTGATTTCACCATATCGGCAAGAGTTGCTGTGGGCATGTCTACATCTTCATTCTCTTCTTTACAACTGAAAGGGGTTAGGTTGTTGTTGGCTTCAACATTAGGCATGAGTTTTCTCCATGATTTTAAGAGGGTTGACGGTTTCACTGAGTCCCATGCAGATGCAATACCATAGATGTTGTCGAAGATTGTATAGTGTTTCCAAAACTCTTTCAGATCATAACCTTCCTCAATTTTAGCCATTAGCAGCTTCATTGTTCTCTTCATTGTTGCAATGACGCCTTGGTCTATGGGTTGGATTAGCGCAGTAACGTTTGGGGGGAGAAACTTTAACTCCTTCACATCCAATCCGCCCGACACGGCCCTATATTGAAAGAACCAGAACCGCAAGAAAACGGCCGAGATTGTAATCTTCCTTCCCTCCCCCTAAGGTATGCAGTATCAAGTGCACTTTCCCCAAATGCATTGTATCTGTTTAATGCAGACAGCTTGTCTTAGGTTTTTTTTTATCTTTTGGTTGATCGTGACATTTCGTTGTTGATTCTTTTGTGGTACATTCAGCTTTAAAGCTTTAAACAGCAATAAAAGAGCAGTTTAAAAATTTAAGGATTGTATTTATATTTTTAAAAAATTTATTCCTTAAAAACAATCTTTCCTATAAAAGTAACGAAAATAAACAAAATCTCAGTCATTATCATAACAAAGCTGGAAAGGCTTGTTGATCTGACCTTCAGAATAGTTTTATAAAGAACGGGGTCAAAGGCTAATGGAATCTTTGCTAGAAAGTACAAAGGATGTCATTGGAAATCTTCACACCTATTTTCTGCGTTAATGGACGGGTAGGAGAGGAAATTGCTGTGAAACTGGAAAAGTATTTTGGGCGGTTCGGGTATTTTGAGGATACAGCTTAGCGAAGGGTCTGGTTTTCAAAGAGTTAAATAAAACAAAAATTTGTCCATCAGAAGACTTTAACCCGCTTGTTGCTGTGTGAGATGGTGCGTTGTTGATCAATAGCACAGCTTTTTCAGGCAGGTTTTTCGATTTAAGATGTTTAGGCACTTGACGAATAAAGATTGTTTTGAACCATTCTTGAAAAATGTTTCGGTTCATCCATCCTTTTTTTTTTTTTTTTGGTTAAAATAATCAACGAGCAAATTTTCTATCCTTGTGCCTTTGAAAGATCTCGGTTTTTTTGACTTTCTAATGACAACAAGTCTAAGTTTATGTCCACCAGTAGCGTTACTGCAAGACATGATAGTGCTTTCTTTATGACCCGCCACTTTACTTTCACTTTCATATGCTAAAGTGCGAGTGGGAAGACATTTCCAACAAAAGTCCCGATTCGTCGCATATTGTAAATTTGTTAAAAAAGAATAGCTCTTCTTTTAAAACAAATTCTTCAAATTTATGGTGGAACTCGTCGGCTGCTTGTTGGTTACCACTAAGTTTCTCCTATGAAGTCCCAATTTCTCGAATTCCATGTCGCTGCTTAAAACGAGTCAACCAGCCAGAAGACGCATCAAAATTTCATTTCAGGCCTAACAACTTAAAGAAAGGTTCTGCCTTCGCCGCAATGATAGAACCATTTACAGGAGTACCCTCTTTTCGAACTTGAGCTAACCACTCTGTCAATGCCGTGTCTATCTCCTCAAAGGTACTTTGGAAATTAAATCTAGTCTTTGCGCAATCGTCAACACAACCTTCTTTCGTTTACCTGACATTTTAAATCGGTAACGAAAAACACAAAACCAAAAAGCACAAGCATTAAACACAATACAAGATAAGAAATTAACTCCGACTGGTTCGCAAACACTATCAGGCTTAAACTAACAATGGCGAGTGGGAGGAAGTGGACGTGTTAGTAAGATTAAGACGAGAGAGGGCGGTGGAGCGGCACTGCAAGGGTGAGTAAGAAATCACTTACTCATCAGAGGGGAAGGTTCCAAGAAGGCCTGGGATATGTTTGCCATAAATAAGCATGACGTTAGCAAATTTAACGTTTCGCTCAGTTTTGTGAACATTTTTATTTTCTTTGCTTTATGCTTGGGGGGGGGGATTTTTGTGCGGCAACGGCGGATAATCCACCCGCGGATAATCGGGAGTCTACTGTACTAACGAATAATAATCTATTTTCATGTATCAATAAAATGTGTTTGTGATTTTTCAATTTCCGTCTTCAACCTCTGTTTGGATTAAGTTAATTGGCTATGATCTCGCTGATGCTATGCTGGATATAAGGTAAGAGAAAAAATTTTACTGACTACTTTTGTTAATTTTGATGTGAAATTGTGAGGCTACAAAAATGTTTTTCAACAAAAGATCATGAGACCGAGGTGAAAAGACCATAGCTTAATTAAATAATAATAGAGAAATAGAAACTGTGAAGGCTAAACTGTAGTTTCATATCAAAACCAAAAATAAATTTTTCGACGATGCAAAAATGTTTCATTCAAATCAAATGCAAATTGCAAAATTGAATACCAGCAATTACTCAACATGAAAATTCAAAATACAAATGCTAATAATAAAGGAGGATCTTTATGATGTAATCAAAGATGTTCCTCCAAGCCCTATTATAGAACAATGGAGTAAACGGAATCGGCAATGTTGTGCGATGATAACTACTGCTAAAGCCACCTGGGAAAAATTCAGGCAGGTAGATGAAAGGTCTAGTCTCTCAAGTAAATCATTTCTTTTGCAAAAGCTTTACAGTTTGAAGCTTGAGGAAAATGGAAATATGCAAAAACATATAAATACATTACTGGAGTTAGTCGATAAACTCAATTCAATACGTGAGAACCTAAAAGACGAATATGTTTCAGCACTTTTGCTTTGTTCAATGTCTAGTTCTTATGATACACTCATTATGGCTCTTGAAACGACAGCAAAATCGGAACTGAACCCAGAATTCTTAAAAGGGAAATTAATTGATTTAACAAGAGAGTTGACAATAATTCATCAGATTCAAAGGCATTTAAAGCTTCATTTCATAAGAAGACAGACAGAGAAAAGTTTTGTTCATACTGTCACAAAAATAATCATTTTGGATCAGAGTGTTAGCATCTGAAATCGAAACAAAAAAATGAACCGCGCCAAAATTCGAAGAAAACATATATGAAGTCCAAAGCATGCCAAGCAAAGAATGCATGTAATCTCGCGATGAATAAAAAAGAAACAAAAATTAAAACTCCGGAAATCGAATCCAGATGCGGTGCTGTCCTTCTGTCTGCTGATAGCACTATACATCAATCAGCGGAGAGTTTTGTTTTCGACAGCGGGGCAAGTAATCACCTGGTAAAAAATACGAAAGATTTCATGGACTGTGTAGCCATAAATCTGTCAGATATTATAAATGGGAATGGGCAATGTATTAAATTAACAGCATAGGAACTGTCTGTTTTAAAACATTAAATGCTAAAAAAAAAAGTAACTGAAGTTCTCTTATTGGAAGTTTTATACATTTCTGAATTAGAAATGAATTTAATCTCAATTAAGAAAATAATGGAAAAAGGACTTTTGGTTCTGCTTGAAGGAAATAAAAGCATGATCACGAAAGAAAATAAAATTATTCTAGAATATCATGCAACTAACAACCTTTTCCAAATTAAACCAATCTACAGGAACAATGAACCATCAGCTCATTTAGCATTTCAGTGCAAAAATGAGAACTGTGTTCAACTTTGGCATAGATGCCTTGGTCACAGAAATGATGACGTGATCAAACAACTTGTAAACAAAGAACTCGCTGAAGGAATTAAACTAGATAATTGTAAACATGATACCAAATGCATTCAGTGCATAAAATGTAAACTAACTGATTTTCTGTATCCCAAAGAATCGAAATTCAGAGTATATAAACCACTTGAACTTGTTCAAACTGATATTTTAGGACAAGTACAAATACTGTCTGTCGGTGAATACCTACACTTCGCAACTTTTATTGATGACTACAGCAGGTTCACAATGATTTACCAAATGAAAAAGAAAAATGAAGTAATT